ATATAGCTCCCATATGTCTTTTCTTCCAATTTAATGTAAATTGTGCACTAAAGACCCAAAGTTTGGCCGACCGGCACACAATTTAAAAAATATGGAATAGGTTGCAGAATGGCATGTGTTGGAATTGAAGTTAGTCGGTTTAATAATAGATAATGATCGCATATTTAAGTTCGTTAAATGTCATGTATTAGGATACATATGTAGAATATACTCAAAGTGGTGAAGGGTATCATATAGTCGGCCCAGTCCGACTTTACTGCTTTCCTTACTGGTTTTCTATCAATCGATGGATCAAAGCTAGTGATGTACAATGAGGGTTTCATATCGAAAACGCCATTACAGAAGTTGACCCAGTCTCCCCTACTTTGGGATATATACATAAATAATTAAAGGTGTCGATTTGTTACGATATTTTTTAGTGTTATTACTCTACTAGAGGGCGGAAATGTCACGCAGATTGGTTTGAAATTTTACCAGATGTTCCGGTGGTGGTCAAGCACGATGTCTATAATTTTCGGTGATGTTGAAATGATATTTAGGGGGTCCAATGAACTGAAACCTTTTTTTTTTGTCAGATTTTCTAGTCGGTCTAGTGGCCATTATATGCAGAACATCACATATATTACACAGTAAGTGGATCTGACCAAATACTTAGAACGGTTGTTTAGATGATGTTCGGTAAACATTCAAATGTACAATTAAAAAATAAAACAACCAGTATAGATTTTGTTGTATATATACATATATATATGTATGTATATATTTATTTTTGTATATATTTCAAAAATTTATAAATATGTTTGAATGAAAACTAATATAATTTGCCTGTTTAGCTTAGCTTTTTTATGCAATTGGAATATGAGAATTTTTACAACAAAAGATAACCAAACTAGTGATTAAGGAAAGTTAATATACTTAACATTTATTTAAGTACGCATAAAAATAATTATCAACAGAATTTGATTTACATACAACTTAGGTGGCTAAAAAAAATACAATAAAATATTTATAAATAATTAAAATATGTATAGTGAAATAACATTATTGTATCTATGTTAAGCATAATTTAAATTATTATTTATTTTACTAATTATTATTAGAAATATTTTTTTAAGGTGACAATGATGAGAGTGGGGGCAGGAATCAAGAACACAGGCCAACAATGGTATACCAAATTTGTAAAAATAAAAAGAAATTTATAATGAATAAAAACACTTTGATGTTAATATTTATAGTCATATATTGTGTTTTTAGTAATGAGATCAGTGGCTAGTGGGAACAAAAATTTTACAGAAAAATTAGGTTGAAAAATAAATGAAATAGATTTTATAGACATTGATAATAATTATCAGGGTGTTTGAATTAAACAATGTTCCATTCAAGTCCTCAAATATGGAATTCTTGACGCTATCGACCAACAACATTACAATTTGGTTGCTTAAATTTTCTTGACATTTTTGGCTGGTAGTATATCCATTCTATTATAAGTAGCAGCTTCGTGTTTATTATGAAACAAACATCTGATCATGCATTTCAATCAATTATTTTCAATTATTTTCATTAAAACCAAAAAAATCACACCTTTTATTGGAAATTCCTTTATCTTTATCAAAAATAAGCTATTTTTAGAATCCCACAAAATCTTTCTATTAAATGTTTAAACGGGAAATTTCTTACAAAATATTGAACAATTACAAAAAAAATCATTATCTTAATAATAACAAAACAATAGTAATAAAATAAATGTTCATAGGTCAACAAATTAAATATTGTGCGAATATTAGTTGGCCTGTGTTACAATACACATATTTGTTCTTCTTATCATATTTGTTTTTATTTCATTTTTTCCTCCTTCATTCAGCTATCCGGTCAATTTTGTTTTTTGTATAAATATTTTAGCTTTAATATACGTACATACACATAAATATTCAAATTATAAACGTTGTTGTTATCATTTCTTTGTATGTAGTTCACATTTAGATTATAATGTACGCTACAATACGACTGAGTACTACTTCTAAAACATTGTGGGGTATTCCAGACTATTTCAAAACTAAATTCAGTTCACAAAAAAGATTCTAAAATACATTTTCATATCCTCCCTAATTATATCCCACACAACTATGTTGTCAGTGTATTATAGCTTTGTGCAGCCCCAAAAGTTTGTAACGGCGCGAAATATTGGTCCTAGACCCACCTTTAAGTATACCGATCGTCATATCTCGTCTGTCCATTATAATTTGTAAACACGATATAGGCCACAGTTATGGACCAATCTTCATGAAATTTTGCATGTAGGATGGGTTCTGTCCAATGAAGACCTCTTTGGAAAAGATAGGTTAATATTTAGGTGATAACCAAAAACTTTATTTTAGTCGGTTTTTCTGGTCGCTCCAGAGGCAACAAATGTGACCCAAACTCCGCGATGGAGAAGGGGATCGGGCCAAAGAATAAGCATGCCTGTTTTGATAAAGATCGATCAATATTTAGCGGGTCAAATTGACCCTGACTTTTGTGTGAAAAATGACAAAATTTGTATCCTGGAGGGCATAGACTCCAAGAGGAGTGGTTGACCTTTAAATTGATACTAATTTTATTGTCGCATGTACTCGGATGTTGGAGTTACACTTAAATATTTACAGGTGCTTACGTACTCAGATACTATTTAGTAACCCATTACCACACTAGAGGGCGGAAATATAGCGCTCATCGCTTTGAAATTTTCCATTAGTATCCAGGTATGGTCAAGGACAACTCCTATCATTTTCGGTGATGATCAGATAATAATATTGGGATGAAGTGGACCGAAAACTTATTTTTTTCGAGTCGATCTACAGTCCTCAATTGAAAGCCGAACATCACAAAACCACCCACGTTGAAGGGAATCTGGACAAGGAATTAGAAGGAGTGTACTGAATATTAGTAATATTTGTTGACCTCTAGTGGGTCAAAAGTAATTAAGTACTTTGGGAACTAAATTTCTTCACAAAAAAATTATAAATACTTTTACTTTCCACTCTTTCTGGAAGGCCCTATATTACGGTTCCCCTAAAATTTGCTGTATTTTGCGAGTTTTTATCGCATTTTTCGACAAAATTGGCTGTAATTTGGTACTTTGAGTTCCTACTGGGTAGCAAATCTCTCCACTAAAAATTATAAATATAGGTCCATTTTTTCTGGTAGCCCCCATATAAGGTTACCTCCCAATTTTCCGTATTTTGGGGTTCTTGAGAGCGTTTAATCACCATAAATGTTCCCCATACATTCCCTATATGTTCTTCGGCCAAATACGTTTCAGCCGTTTCAGCTCTATTTTTATGGATTCCCAAAAATTAATTTTCCTCTTAACTTTAGAATTAATGTTGCGATCAAAAATATGCCTCATCGAAATAACAGTTATAGGCCCCAAGTGTCCCCGAAATAAATTTGTGAAATCTGTCAAAAATATTGACAATTGGAAGACTCCAAACTTAATTCGATTTTCGATGATTTTTTCAAAATGTTGGAAACGGAATGATAAATTATGAGGGAGTTTATACAAATAAGTAAATATTATCTCGAAAATGTCCTTAAAATATTTAATGTGTGCATTTTAGATTCAAATATCTTTCTTGTGAGCATTCATTGTTTCAGGGACAAACATGGAGTTCATCCTTCCTTAGCCATTACATTGTGGAATACCCTGTTTACAATTTAGTAATACTTAAGTAGTAGAATGTTATGTTAATGTATGTAGGTATGTATGTCTCTCTGTATATATTTTTGGTATATAATAGTTTATATTAATTTTGATAATACTTTTGTTTGTTCTTTTTTGTTTCTGTTTTATATGCAAATTTGTATGGTTTTTATTTTATTTTCCCATTTTGTTTTTTTTTTTTTTTGCTATTATGTATGTGTGAAAAAATATTGTATGCTGTTGAATTTTACAATGAAGGCGAGCAATGTTTTGTTATTGTTTTTTCCTCTTTCATTCAGTTTAGCTGAGAAGTTCAAAATTAAAAATATTATATATGTAGATATTATGTGGAATTATTTTTTATGGGCGAGGGGGAGAGAAATCTTGGGCAGGATATACTATATTGTACATAACGGGATTTTTTGTATGCCGTTTCATTAAAGGCGAATTAACAGGTTGTTGCTATTATTTGTGTTGTCATTGTTATTGTTGTTGTTTGTTGTATTTGTTTGTGTTATTACAGATATTAGAAAAATCTGTAATCTGGATTTTATGCGAAAATATATAGATTCATAATTGTGTGCGTTTATTTAATAATAACAATAATTAGTGTAGGTGTTTTGTTTTGTTGTTGTTTAAGAACAATCATAATTGTTGTTGTTGTCTTCGTTAAACTATAGTAACTGTTGGTTTAAGATTATTGTGATGCTGATGATGATTATGATGATGTTGATAACGATGATGCTGTGAATGATTATGAAGTTGCTGATGTTGATGCTGTTGCTGGTATTTTTGTTGATGCTGAGTAGTTGGCGGCACTGATGCTGTTGTCTGGCTCAACAATTCATTGGCTTTAACAATATCCTGTAACTGTTTACAACTATGAGTATTTCCTTGATGATAGCCCTCTGTTTGGCATTTTCCATTGGTTATGGAATTTTTTCCAGTCTGTTCGCAATGCATATTTTGAGACGGCTGGCGTTCATTATTATTATTATCCGAATTCTTTACATTCTCTTCTTCATTTGTTGGCTGTGTTACATTCACACATCCACTGCTACTCCACTGTTTCAAAGGATCACCGATTAATGTAATTTTCACCGGTTTATATGAGGGTGCAATTTGTTTGTCCCATGCAATCGATGCTCGACGTGCCGGTGTAATGGTGTTATTCGGCATGGGTTGTTGGTGTTGTTGCTGTGAAAACATTTGTTGATTATAATTGGACAATGTTGTTGAAATAACAGTATGACGACGAATTGGATTACTATTATTATTGTTGGTATTATTACTGTTTGTCATACTGCCAGGATTTGCTTGGCCAGAATTATGATGTTGCTGCTGCTGTATGACCGTAGTGCCATTTGTAACCGGAAAATATGTTGTATAACTTGTATATTCCGGCTTACTTCTAAATTCAAACAAAAATGCAAAGAAAATAAAAAAAATAGAAAAAATATATATTTAAAATCCTTTTTTCCAAAAAATTCACAACAATACATAAACAAACAAGTAATACATAAATATATAGTTGGTGTTGGTTTTATTGTGGGTGGGGTGGGGAAATATGACATAGGGTAATGGGATCAAAATATATTTAATTGCATGCTCTCTATGCCCATGGGCATATCAATTGGACACACACATTTAACATAAGATGTTAATATGTTAGTTGATATAATTGGAAAATTTACCTCAAATTTCTATATTTTATTTGCAGCATGCAATCAAAATTTTTGAATACATATAAATACTATCTTAATTTGTTAATGTCTGTTTTATATTATTACACATAAATATACAATATAAACAAAATTAGTGGGAATTTTTAAACAAATAAGTAACAGCAAGTAATTATCTTGATGTAATGTTCGTCCGGTAGAGAATTGTTTATATCCTCAGTTGGGAATTTTCTATTAGCATAACAACAAAAGTGGGATCTTTAGAATTACTTTGAGTTGTTTAGGACTATCGACCATAAAGTTCCATTGGATCTATATTAACAATATTTGGTGAGGTGTGCTCTGCCTATTGTTCATTAGGTTGTGTAATCACCGTTGTAACTTGCGAAATAATGGATATTAAAAGATACATATACGTATTTACCTTGAGGATGTTTAAAGGATTTTTAACACATTTTTCATCGAAATGGGTATAATTGATATTAAGGGTTCTTATTACGATAGGAAATCTTCCTGCCAAAATTCATCATAATGGTCTACGTTTACGTCGGTATATAATTCAACCCCATGGTGATAGAAATCGTAACATTTAAAATATAATTCTTCACAAATATTGCCAGTACATCTAGGATGTTTGATATTGCAAATGGTATATATCGCTCCACATTTTGGTATAAATGGGCTGTAATTTTAATTTGGTAGCAAATTTGCCCACCCAGACCTATTAATATTGGTCAATTTTTTAGAGTAGTAGTAGGAACCGTTATGTGGGAGCTACTCTAAAAAACTGGCCGATATTGATTTGAATTTAACCCTTTGAGCCCCAATGTTGCCCAGATGCAGTGTTGGCAATTTAGCACTTTTAGTGCTAGATTTAACACTTTTAAAACTCCTTTAGCACCAAAAAAGTGATCTACCACCTAGCACCTTTTAAGCATTTTTTTCTTCTGGAATTCGTTAAAATGTATTAAAATGTCCCTATGTCAGTTTGATTTTCCAATGTTAGAAAGTATCAATACATATGTAGACAAATAAAAAAAGGTTAAAATTTGGCCGATCAGAAATTTTTATATCCTGCACCATGTGGCGTGTATTATTTTTTTTTTTTTTTAAATGGTCGGGTACTATAGGAACGCCTGCTAGTAGGTTTTTTTTTTTTTTGCTAAAATGAAAAGCCAAATTAAGAGGGACATTATATGGGAGCGATGTGAAAATCGGTAACTGTCAGGAAAGGAGTTTCTTATACAACGGAATTCCAATTTTAGCTACTTCAGAGTGCCGAAATGTGTCTCGTAACACTTTATAATGGGGTTATGTCAAAAGATGGACTTCCATCGAAAAATTTTGTTGAACATATTTTTAAATTACAGTCAATTCGGCGGGAAAAGTTTCTAAATCTTTATATGAGGGATATGTTCAAACATAGACCTATGTAGATATTGTCCGCATAAATATATTCTACCCAACAAGAACAATATATTAACCCTTTCAGTGTTTTTGTCGAATATATTCGACATTTAAAAATTCTCTCTTTCTTTGCGATTTTTCGGTTATCCTATGTACCGTTAACATTGATGTTTTTGTTTTTGCAGAAAAACATAAAAAGTTTCTAAATCTTTATATGAGGGATATGTTCAAACATAGACCTATGTAGATATTGTCCGCATAAATATATTCTACCCAACAAGAACAATATATTAACCCTTTCAGTGTTTTTGTCGAATATATTCGACATTTCAAAATTCTCTCTTTCTTTGCGATTTTTCGGTTATCCTATGTACCGTTAACATTGATGTTTTTGTTTTTGCAGAAAAACATAAAAAAGAAAATTGCTTTTTTTCTAAACTCTATGCCTTTATAAAATTTTAAGTACAAAATTTTAGATTTTTATTCCGACAAAAAAATTTTTTGACACTGAAAGGGTTAATATGAGGACTATGTGCAAACCATCACCTTGACAATTGTGTGAGGTAATAATACGTTTTAGTGAGACAATTTGGGTACTAGGGCAAGCAGATGAGGCAGTTCTTGGGGTGCTTGAGAGAAAAATTCTCCCAAATATCTTTGAACCGATCGGCGTGGACGGTGAATATCGGCGTCGAATGAACCACCAGCTTTGCTATCTATACGCGGACATCCACCATTTTGGGCGAATGAATGAGAATGCCACAGCTCAAAAGGCATATAAAAGCGAGCCTACTGATGGTTCTCACAGAAGGCGAAGGCCACGAATTAGATGGAACGACCAAGTAGAACACAACATCTCGGAACATGGTCTTTCAAATTGGAGGAAATGCGCACAAGACCGACGCGCTTGAAAATCATTTTTAAGCTCGGCTTATGGAACAACCGTTCTGTAACAAATCAGGTAAGTAAGTAAGTGGGACAATTTGACACACCGTTAAAATCAAAACTTTCAAATTATAGTCAATTTCGTACCCGACGTTCCCAAGGACCTACCCCTAATTTTTGGTAGGAAAATTTTAATATAATGAGATTCAAAAATATCAAATTATTAATTTATCTGTATATATAAAAATGAATTGCTGTTCGTTAGTCTCGCTAAAACTCGAGAACGGCTGAACGGGTTTTCTTATATTAGTCTTGAAATGTTCGTGAAGCTCCAGGAAAGGTTTAAAGGTGAGAAAAAGTTAAAAAACGCGAAAAATTTGCAAAAAATATTTTGAAGCATGTTTGCATTTCCACGAATTTATTATCGAGCTATTGTTATTGCTCCACGTCGTAGTTTTTATTTTGAGATATTTTGGGCGAAAATTGGTAGCGTATCATTCCTTTAAGCTTATTTGTCAATTATTGAAAATTTGGAAAATTTTTTTTCAATTAGATTGACATTGAATTTAAATTTTTTTGTAAGAATGTTAAAAATAATTGAATGCCCGTACATTTGGGACAAATGCAATAATGAAAATCAGAAGACATGCGGAATAGCGTTCTGATTCTAAGATCCACGGGAAATCAAGTGGCGCCAGTATATGGTGGTTATTTGCCTTATCGTTGGTTAGTATCTTTGAACTTATAAACTTAATACCGCATATATTCGATACTAATAATGTGCTGCAAAACAGACATAACTCAAAAACGTGATTAATGATGATTGTTCGCTATAATAGACCTCATGTTGTGTAGAAAAATCATAAGAATCTGTCTTACACTCTCTAATTGAGAAGCTGTAGAAGTTCCTCTGTCCCATATAAAGTGTGAGTAAATTGAAAACTTTAAACGCATTTTCTGCAAAATCGTTTTTTGAGTTATGCCTGTCTTGCATCAAATGAGCGATATGTACGATGATATTTTCTGTGCAAAATTCTATTATTAAGTCATATCATAAGAAGATATGTTATCTATTCGTATTGAACCTGTGACTATAAAATTACAAATACCTCAATATGTCAGGAGATCTAATAACATGTAAAAATGTTGTTAAGATCGAACTTTTCATATCTTCTCATATGTATATTCCTTAAATCTGTCGGGACATTTATATTGGTACAATGTTACAACACTATTAGGTAGTAGGTTGTCCATGATCTTTAACAATAAGGTTCAAAATTATAGACACTCAGGTTGGAAAAGGGGGAAAGAACTTCAACGTACCGAAAATTAAACGGGAAATATGTGTGGCATACTCTATGAGAAAATTCGATTAAAGTCTTCACAATTCCGAAAATGCCGAATATTTTGAGTACAGTTATATGGGAGCTACCTCAAAGAGTGGACCAATATAGATAATTTTAGTGCGATTCATTCTGCCAAATAAGAACCAAATGTCAAATTACAGCCGATTAGATTTAAAAACGTGTCCAAATTCCCCACAGCATCAAAAAATTGTAGAAGTGTCCACGTCAATGGCATTGTAGCATTTAACAATAATTAGGTATTCCATCTGGGTAAGGCTATACAAAATTCGTACCGGCCGATCATAATATCGTTTTCACTTGATGTTAATACAGTGTTTTCTTTTGTTGTTTTTTTGCTCATAGATAAATATTAAAGCTATCACATATTAGTTATAAATATTATGTTATTGTTATTATTCTTAATTTAATTAAGTCATGAGGGACAATTGTGTGTACAAGTATAGGTTAGATGTAGTAAACAAATAAAGTTAATTGCACATAACAATATTACAGCCAAGAAAAAATCACAGTAGAATACCTTTTGTTCTCCAAATTGTTGTAGTCTGTGTGTTTTTGTGTTTGTTTGTTTGTTATATTAAATTTATATTGATTGTTTGGTTTGTTTTCGAAAAAGAGTAGAGGAAAGAGAATTTATAAGTGTTAGCAAGTTATAACTTATTTGCGAGGCATAGTAAATAGATTAGGTAAAATATTATAGAAAATATGTATTAACATTTTATTTATTAAAATTAAAAATATCGTAATGTTAACTAAACTAAAGAAAAATAATGCATAAATGAAAAACAGATGTATGTACATAACTGTTGCAATATCAAGCTCATTTTGAGGTTGCAACATGCAATTTGAAAATTTCTTTAACTTTGTAGGTGAAAGCGGTTATTAGATGTACAAGATTGTAGGCAATAGAGATGCATTGTTGCACCGAAAACAAAGAGTTGGCCTTTTTTGGGTAGGTACCAGGATTAGTTGACCTATAGACTCCATCTAAGGATTTATTGTAGGTATAGTAATATCGCAATATTGAAGATAGAACTTTGAAACATTGCTATTACTCCTAGGATATTTGGTATTGCAAATGGGACATACCGGTCCAAGTTTTGATATAGTACTTATTTTTTAAAAACATGGATGAAATTGGATACTAATTTCGTTAAATATTGGATTTACAAATATTAAACATTTTTAAAGAGGAGTAAACCGATAAAATCAATTTTCGAACAATATGTAGGCATGATAAACATTCCTTAGATATTGGCTTTAGTAAAGAAGACGTACATATTTACAACCTCAGAGCTTGTTAATACATTTTTCATAAAATCAAATCATATAAACACTATTCACATAAAATTACAAAAAATAAAATAATAATAATAATACAACTCAAAATTCGAAATAATTAAAAAAACGAAGAAATCACTCATGTTACCTCGATAAACCCTCCATGCCAATCGATAATGGTCGAGTCTGTAAAGAAAATGTTTTTTTTTAATTAAAATAAAAATAATTCCAAGTCAATCGCATAGCTATACATACCCTTTCGGTTTGAGTTGCCGTGGTAACACATTCCTTTGCGTTTTCAACAGACGTTGGATTTGTTGTTTTATGTTTTTCCGCCTCTAATTGTTCAATGAGATTTTTCTGCATACGTATTGTACGATCACGATCATCAACTTGTCCCTGTTTTTTTGTCGATTCATTTTTTATTGGTTTTCATAGTCCACATATGGCGGGCAGCAAAATGGACATTTATTTTTGTAGAAAAAAAAAACACAAAAAAAAAATAAGATAAAAATGTTTTTGTTCGTCAAATTAACTGCTAATTGTTCAATGAAATTTTGAATACTTAAGGAGGAAATTGGTAAAATTAAATCAGAAAAAAACGTATATATAAATATATATTTATTTTACAACATTAAAGGTGAGCAGGTGTATGTTTTTTTCATATGATTATTTATATTTATACTAATTTATTATATAGTGTTATACTATACACTTCATAAATGTGTTTATGTATATATTTGTATATATGAGTACTCTAATTTCTTCAGAATAAAATTTCGTAAAAGTTTGGATAGTCACATCAATTCCACGCCCTCAAAAATAATTATATGGCAAGGGCAAGAATTCTGGCTTGAAATTTTACATCGAAAGAAATCAGGATGGCATCGTGTAACCAATATTGTACGAGCAAGTTGTAAAACTTAGGTAGGAACTTCAACATACAGAAAACTAAAAGTGGGGGATTATTTTAAAATATTAATCAATATCGGGAACCCTGTGTGGGTTTGACGCTTCAATCAATCATGGAATGGCAAATTACAGCCACTACAGTGGTAATATGACTCTAAACCCTTCAAAATACTGTACAAAAACGTATATCAATATTGATAATTTTCGGTAGGAATATTCGACACCCCATGAGTACCCAAAAATCAAAGTCAAAGGGTCAGTTCGGTTGAAAGTCGTGAATATTGATACTTTTTTGTATTGAGATTTGACAGCCAATGGGAATACACAATACCAACTTACAGTCAATTCGGTTGAAAAACGTGCCAAAAATTCTCAATTCTCATATGAATGCTTTTGAATTATGTCTTTGTGCATATGTTTGTAACAGTCAAAAGGTATCTAGATAGACCCATGGTTCCTTTTGAGAATATGCATAGAATCACTATCTGAGTCGATTTACGCATTTCGTCCGATTTAATTTAAATGGTGTACCAAAGTCCCTATATATCTTTCGATTTGAACGCAATTTGGTACAGCGTACTGAATTAGGTGTAGAATGATGTGTGTTAAGTTTCGTCCAAAATCGGTTCAGATTTAGATATAGCTCCCATATATATTTCCGTCCGATTTTAGGTAAATTGTCCACCAAAGTCCCTATATATTTTTCGATTTGCACGAAAATTGGCACATTAGGTCTAGAATGATGTGTGTTAAGTTTCCTGAAAATCGGTTCAGATTTAGATATAGCTCCCAATATATATTTTCGTCCGATTTTATGTAAATGGTGTACCAAAGTCCCCATATATCTTTCGATTTGCACGAAATTTGGCACAGCGTAATGAATTAGGTCTAGAATGATGTGTGTTAAGGTTCGTGAAAATCGGTTCAGATTTAGATATAGCTTCTATATATGACCAAATGAAAACTTTAGTATCGGTTGCAGAATGACATTTTTATGAATCCAATTTCATTTTACTGGTCCTTTAAAAATGGGACCGATCCAAGGTTAGGCAAAATATAGGCTTAGTAGAAAAATATGTATCAAGTTCGTTATAACCAAATTAAAATATAAATCCCACACTGGGGGGTACCAATTTTGGAGACTATCCTTATACGTGGGTCAATATTTACACTTTTAGTACGGAAATGTGCTACACAATGGGAACCCAAAATATAAAATTAAGCCAAGTGGACCGATATATACCGTTTGCAATACCAAACATCCTAGGATTACTAGAAATAACCGTGCAAAGCCGTTCAGAGCCCTGTCTTAAATATTGCAATCTCATTCGTGATTTCAACAGACGGACGGACATGCATAAATCTCCGGCGAATAATTCGAGGTGTATTACACGGAATGACAAAATTAAATATACACCCCACCCTACGACGAAGGATAAAAAAAGGAACAAATTCGAAGTAAAAACGTGGTCAAAACGATATATAATGGAGTTCCCGCTGCATGGGGGCTACATGAAACTTGGACCAAATAAAATCTACCCAATAAAAATCTAAAATCTATATTATATATATATATATAAATGGAGCAAAGAAAATGTATACTAACGCATCAATTGAGAACGGCTGGACCGATTTGATTCAACATGGGTTTGAATTGTCGGTAATTGCAGTGAGAAGGTTTTTATGAAGTAAAATTTTTAAGAAATATCTCGCAAAATTATTTTGAAGGAAAGGCTGGACCGAATCGACTCCAAATTACTTTCAGTTGTCTGTTATTGAAGTGGAAAGGTTTCAAAGAAGGAACATTTTGAGAAAAATCCGCGAAAATGTTGCAAAATATATGTTTAAGAAAATTTTCATTTCCACACATTTTCTTCGAAGTTTTATGATTTCATCACATCGTAATTCTTTTTGGACATATTTTAGTCGAAAATTGTCAGCGTATAATCTCTTTAAGCAATTGTTAATTATGGAAAATTCTCAAAATATGTTCATTTTCTACAATCAATTGGATTGTCATTGCTATTTTGATTTCACCACGTCGTAGTTGTTATTTTGAGATATTTTGGTCTAGATTTGGTAGCTTATCATTCCTTTAAGCCTTCATTTGTCAATTATTGAAATTTTTCAAAATATTTTTTTTCCAATTGTATTGACATTGTATTGAAACATCTACAAACCGTATGCGCCTTTTTTAATATGTTAGGCCAACTCTATAAGAAAAGTGGGTCAAAGACTTTGCAAAACCGAAAATGGGGAGGGACCTGTATGTATGAGCGATATCAAAAATTGGTCCAAAATAGAAATGCTTGCGCAAAAATGTGTTGTGCCCTTTAATATCCCGGAATGATACATTACATCTACTACATTGGAAATGGATATATTTTAGTATACTTAATATTAAATTAGAAGCAATTCTGCAGAATGTTGGGGGTACCCTTAAATGGGGGCTACCCTAAAAAGTGAAGCAAAATTGAACATTTTCAATACCAAATATTTTATGAGTAGTAGAAATTATGTGCAAATTCCAAAGTCCTATCTTAAATCGTGGAGGGTAGAACAAGCTAACATAGTATTTGGCTACCGTTATATGGAAGTCTTCCAAATATTTTGGAAAAATTAATTTAAAACCGAAAGTCAAGCTTATGGAGGGTATAAAAAAAATCTAAAATGTCGAAAATTTTACATCAACAATATTGCTAGGCAAGACAACGTTTGCCGGGCCCGCTAGTATTAAATAAAAGACAATTTGCTTATTGGTTTTAAAAAATCTTATAATGAATGGTATCGTTATGTGGGGGCTACCCTTAAACTTTTTGTAGGGATGTTTTTTGCCCAATGGATATCCAAACGTATTTAAACTTCATAAAATACCGAACCGTTATATGGGTGCAGCCTTAAAACGTTAACTTAAATTAGGTTGAAGTTAGGTACCGAATATTGGCAGGCTTGTGTGGGTTCTACAATTTTCTCATACTGTGGTTTGTTCAAGTCATATACAAAAATGTGTGACTGTGTGTAGTGTTTTGAAAAATATAACAAAATATATTCGAAACTTTTTTTGATGATGAATTTTACAATACTTGTAAGAAGAAATGTATAATTTGTGAATAAATCAACTTGCAAATCATATCCCTAACTCGATTTTGAAAAGAAAACCTGACATTCCATTAATTTTTCGCGTTTTTTGGTAAAATGTTAAAAATATTTCAAATGAACAGAGCGACTTTTTGCATTTGTTGTCATTTATTCTGATTATGGGCAATAATGCCATAAGGTAGAGGTGTATTTCCAGCTTTTGCAAAAGCTACCTTGTATATTTGTACTATGGTTCTACACTAAAAAACCATTTCTTCGTTTCTTCTCGAAAACATCAATTAGCAATTTCGTAATTCTATTAGAATTACATTGATCGTTGCTTGTTTAGGGGGTCATAGGGGGTTGAAGGTTTTTGGTTCTTAGTGCGAATTTATTTGTTTATTTTTCTTTTTTTGCAGTCAATTGCAAAATAATTATTATTTTTTATAATTTCTCCTCAATATCGCCTCACATAATTTATTTTTATGTTCTATGTATAATGTTGAAATGGTGTAAACTAGTAATATGTAGTTGTGTTTTATTTGTCTATAAACTTCATGTTAAAAATTAACGTATAAAATAAGAAGCAAGAAAAAAGTAATTCTAAGGCGCCATATAACATAGAATCAAGAAAATAATTATTTTAAAATATGTCAAAAAATTAATAGTTAATATATAAGTATAGGGAACATGCTAGTGTAATACTACATTCCAAATTTGTTTTTTTTGTTTTTAATTTGTTTTGTAATTTCGATTTCCTAATTTTCAAAATACAATATCGATGTTCTCCAATTATTTGCATCAATCGATTCGATATTATTATTCTAGAAATATATACGAAATGTTACCTTTCTTAGGGAATTAAACAGAACATAGAACATTGTAACAGCAACTAAAGATTTCTTTTATAGAAAACTAACCTTGGTTTGATTTGATAAATATTGATTGGCTTCATTTTTTGATTTTTGGTTTTTTTTTTTTTTTTGAATATTTATACATATTAATGTTCACAAGTAAATGGACAAACACACAAACTTAAGGTGTTGGCAATCAAAATAATGCAACAAAAAACTAAATACCAAATAACGTGCAAATACCTGAAGGTAAACCACCTGTCTTCGTAGATCCGAAAGTTCCTGTACCGGATCATCTGTGGTCGATGACGTTAGGCTGGCCAAATCGATGTCGTCTAGCAATTTGCTGTCCAAGCCACAGGATGTAAATAGTTGTCCATTATCGTTTTCGAATGGATTGAGAGTTTCGGTCTGTAAATATTAGTTATTTGGATAATTATAATAAGGTAGATATGTACATGGGTTTATTGAAAGATAAATTTGGATTTGGCAAGTATATAATCATAATTTAACGTAAATAGAAAAGAAATCATATATAATAATAAACGGAATTATAATAAAATACATTTTCATTCCATGTTAATACTGGGTTCCAAATTGTGTTTCTTTGGAAAAAATTAATTCTCCCCGTTGAAATCCAGAAATGTAGAAATTTATTTTTAACTATTTTGAAGGTTTTATTCTTCTTTCTCAAATCCCGGCTGGTTCCGAAATCTTCCTGTAAGAAGTGAAGACAATGTTATGTTCTATCACTCCGAGCTTTTTATAACAAAACATTGTCAAGTATTGGGATAATTTTTACACAACTATCTTGTCAGGGTATTATAGCTTTGTGCACACCCAACGGTTTGTAACGCCGCGAAATATTGGTCCTAGACCCACCGTTAAGTATACCGATCGTCATATCTCGACTAGCTGAGTCGATCTAGACATGTGTGTCCGTCCGTCCGTCTGTCCATTATAATTTGTAAACACGATACAGGCCACAGTTAATCTTCAATCTTCAAGAAATTTTGCATGTAGGATGGGTTCTGGTCAATGAAGACCCCTATTGTTTTTTGAAAAGATCGGTTAATATTTAGGGGATGAAATGGACCAAAAACATTATTTTTTTCGGTTTTTCTGGTAGCTCTAGAGGCCGCACTTATGGCCCAAACACCAAACACGAATTTTTGCATGGAGAAGGGGATTGGGCCAAAGAATAAGCATGCCTGTTTTGATAAAGATCGGTCAATATTCAACGGGTCAAATGGACCCTAACTTTTGTTTGAAAGATTACAAAATTTGTATTCTATAGCGTCTATATTTACCACTGAAGGGCATAGATCCGAGAAGTTGATAGTATATCCAAGAGGAGATACTAAACAATTTGGTATATTCAATATAGTCCCAAGCCTTAACCTACCCACAATATAAATGTATATTGAATATCCCAGCTGAATATTCCTAAGAGTCGGTAATTTGGGATTTTCGGTGGTTATGCCCTCCGCAAAAAAAAAACTTAATCGCCAATAATATTCAATATAGGTCCACAATATAAAGGCTCGGCAACATTTTAGGTGTCTTGAAGTTTCTAGCCGGATTTTCCAATTAAAGTGTTGGTTATTTGGTATTTAATTTTCTCAGATGATTTTAGGTATTGTTAAGGTCCGAATTGAATCTATAACTTCTGATCCAAATAAGGATGTCGACCGCTTTTAAATGTTGTTTAAATCCGACACGAATCAAATTTCAACCGAATCTGATTAAATTTGGCAAAGATATCGGTTTTTAGTATAGACACCGATTCAATCCAATTTTCGATCATTTCCTACAGAACATCTTTGCATAAATTGTTTCTTAAATATCCTCAGTTCAAAGTAACTCCATTTAAAATTGTTGTCCAATTTTCGAACCTGAACCCAATGTCATTTTATAAAACCTTGCTTATAAATTTAATTTTGAAAAGCTTTAACATGGAATGAATTCAAATGATTTTTTTTAATAATATCTGATAGACCTACCCTCGTCAAACAGTTTTCATTCTTGAAATATCAAAATAAAGAACATAAGATCCAGGAGAAAACGTAAACATATACAGCAAATATGAAATGCAGGATGTTGAAATATTTGTGTGTGTGTGCGTTTGTGCAGATTTTTGTTTTGTTCGTTTTTTGAATTTGATGCGATCATAATGTGCGTTACCAAGTAAACCATATAAGTACATATAAACGATATAAACAAAAGAAGCAATTATTATAAAAAAATGTAAAGGAAAACACAAAGTATAAAAAAAAAACGAAAAAAAATTCTGAGACAGCTTGTTCCATTCCCACGGGAATCCACTATATAACATACCTCCTGCAGTATTTTACGCAAACGTAACAATTGCTTCTTGAACTGCAACACATCTTGGATCATAGCATTCCTAAATGATTTATCATACAACATGAGATCGTCCGATGAACTGTGCGTGTCACGTTGATGCTGATGGTAGGCGGCCGATGATGACGATGTTGGCTGGTGATTCTGATGATGATGCTGCTGATGTCTTCGCTGCAGCGATGAGTTGGCTGTATTGTTACCACTGCTATTGTTGCCGGTATTGTTGTAGTTGTTGGTCACCGATGATGCTGTGGAATTGCGCGACGATGTGGCCGTATTGTGGTGACGTCGTGTGCTTAGTGGAGATCTTGTGCTGTCGGAATCGTTATCGTTGTTCAGGGTACAGTGTTGCTGCATACGAGAACGATTCAATAAACGGGTTGCACGTGCAGGCAAGTGAGCACTGAAAGTAATGAAGAACAAGATACTTATGAGAATATTTTTATAATGGGATATTGATTTCAAATACAGGCTATTACAGCAGATATCAGTTGTAGAGGTACATTTTATTAAACAGAGTCTTTAGTGAGATGGAGTTGATTAATCGATTCCCTAGACAAGTCCTTCTAAAAGTGAACTGGGCAATTCTTTACTGGCACGGTTCATTAATTGGCTGAGAATTGTTTCAGATTTAGATGTATTGCTTGTATATATTTTTTTCGCCCGATTTGGTGCAAATTATGTTATTCGATTTTTTATAAATTCAACCGGTTTGCAAATGGATGTGCATTAGATTGGAGCCTTGTAACTTTTTGTATAAATACTTTTCGACGGCGGGCATAATTTCCGATCATGGAATTTTAACAATTCTAACGGAATTCGAAAGAGTAGGGGAGACTGGGGCACCTTCGGCACTTTTTTTAGCGCTCTATATCTCAGTACTTATTCAACATATATAACAACTTTATGGCTGATTATTGTCATCTGACACTTAATTATAAAAAATAGTACCAAAAAGATATAAAAAAATAGTATTAGTTAACAAATTTTACAGTTATGTAAAAAAAGTCAAATTCGCCGAATGTGCCCCAACCCGGGGTAGCTTCGGCATTTGATGGGGCACATTCGGCGCTATAGTTATAGCCGGGTAATTGTCATCGCTATCAGTCTGGTTGAAATTCTGATCCTCCAAAAGGCTCTATTTGGTTTTAATACGTCACACATTGTTTGAATTATTGGGCTTTATTTTCTAGCGACGGGCGTTTACATCTCAAGGTCGCACACACCATCAGAAATAGGGGTTTTCTATCGCATTTTCGTCAATACAAGCATGTTTGATCTTATATATGCAATTTCGAGCCATATTAAAGGATTAGTTTCAAAGACAAACTCAAAAACATTTTAAGGAAATAATATTGCACAATCTGTATATGGCCGAATGTGCCCCACTTTAAAATGCCGAATGTACCCCGAATGTACTTTTCATAGTTTTTTTTCATTTTTTTTCGATCTGTTTTGTAAAAACAATATATTTTTTATATTTTTATAATAATACACATCGTAGTTAACAACTTTTTAATAATATTGTCTTAAAAATTTAAAAAGTTTTATACACGAAATACTTACGAAATGGAATTGAAATATTGCAGAAACATCTATTAAAATACAAAAAACATCTATTAAAATATACAAACCTATGTATCTAAATAAGCTTATTAGCTAGAAATTTCAAACTTTGTGTCAGTTATTTATTTCGATATTCGATACCTATGTATCGAAACTAGTGATGTACGGTGAGAGCTTCATATCGAAAACGCGATTGCCGAAGGTGCCCCAGTCTCCCCTACATGTCTGGCTCGGGTATGAAGTACAATTATTAACGCAATAAGGAAATAAAGAAACCGAGAATGGGGTACCCCTTAAGACCCAACATGTGATCAATAGAGACGTCAGTTTGCGTAGTGTATCGACTTATGCATAGGAAGACGCATGTGCAAACATTTTGACCCTACACAACTATGTTGTAAGGTTATAATACGTTTTGCAACACTACAAAATATTGGTATTAATCAGAGATGGTCCGTCAGAAACAGTGACGTAAATGACATACATTTTCGACGTATATTACATACGTCAGAAACGTCGGAAACCCACCCAAAACCATTAGGTTTTTGACAAAATACCTATTTCCATTAATGAATTTGGAAATTACGTATGCTTTACTGAAATCCATATAAAATTTCAAAAATGTTTTCTCCAAAAAGTTTAAAATTTTGTATTAGTTCTAGTAATGAACAGACATATATATGTAAAAATAATATGTATTTTTGAAAATAACGGTATATGGTAATAATATTCGAATAAATGACGTTTTCTACATTTACTATATTTTATACAGGTATATGACGTTTTCGACGTTTACACCTTTTTGACAGTCGAAAACCTAAAAATTCGTCATATGGACCATCCCTGGTATTAATCCCCAATCATATCATATCTCGAGTATATGAATCGATCTGCCTATATGTGTCCGATCATCTGTCCGTTATAATTTGTAAACAAAGAACAGACCGAAATTATGGAAATTTTTCATGTTTATTCGGTACTATCCAAAGGCGACACCTATATATTTTTGTAACATTTGGTTATTAATAGAATAAAATACTTCAATTGTGTCCGTTTTTCTGCTCGCTCTAGAGGACTGGTTGGTAAACATTTATGTGAAAAAATTACAAACATTCCATTTTACGTCTCAGACTTGGTTGTTAGCTCCGTACCAAATGTCCGACCAAATGTAGGTACAGATTTGCCTAAACCTGGAATGTAGGATACATAAAATCTGCTTCGTTTGGAAAATGGGCTTAGAATCATCAAACTAAATAAAATGTGTCGTAATCCTCAAATAGGTCATAACATAGACCAAAATTTACTACATTTGCAAACAATGAAAATTACAGTCACTTTGTAAAATGGTGCAGTACCGTTTTTATACCTTCCACCATAGTATGGAGGATATATTAGTTTTGTTTTTCGATTTGTAACTCATCGAAATAATCAGTTCAGACCCTATTTTATGACCATCTATGCATGTCCGTCTGCGTCTAAACGAATTGAGATAGATCGCCAAAATTTTGTCTTTTGTCTGCAGACAGGTCAAGTTCGATGATGGGCTAAACCGGTCTGCGTTTAGGCATAGCTCCCATATAAGGGTACCCTTATATGGGAGCTATGCCTAAGGGTATTTTGGAGTTATTGAGCGGGTTTATCAACCAAAATTCGGGTTCTTATTGGGTGCCAATTTTTTCCACTAAAATTATAAAAATAGGTCCACTTTTTTTGGTAGTAGTTTTTCACGGAGTTGACTGTAATTTGGTACTTTGAGTTCTCCCCACTAAAAATTATAAATATAGGTCCATTTATTCGGGTAGCCGCCATATAAGGGTACCCCCAGATTTTAGGGTACTTGAGCGCATTTTACAACCGAATTCACTGAAATTTGTTACATTGCGTTTTAATTGGGTATCAAATCTCTTCACAAAAAATTATATATATAGATCCACTTTTTCTGGTAGTCCCCATAAAAGGGGACCCCCAAATGTTCGGTATTTTGTGGATTTCGGTGGTATTTTTCCACCGAATTGGCTGTAATTTAATACTTTGAGTTCTTATTGGGTAGCAAATCTCCCCACTAAAAATTATAAATATAGGTCCATTTATTCGGGTAGCCCCTCCAATTTTCGGGATTTTGGAGTTCTTGAGTGCGTTTTCAATCAAATTCCATGTAGTTTTTAGTCGTGTATGGTAACGAATCTCCCTCCCAAAAATTAATAATACTACCTTTAAGGGGTAGTACCCATATAACCCATTTTTGTATTAAAATTATTATCTAAATTTGTTCCGCGTTTTGGGTTTGGTTCTAAGACTTTGTTGTAATCCGACATGGTGGCGTTTATAAACACCTCCCACTTTATGGCAGAAGCACTACAAGAGCAGATTCCCGACGACTAGTGAATTATTATTAAATTAAAAATTGTTCATATTAGGTTTTCCTATAGCCAATATCTACTGTATGCACTTAAAACACACACACAACATATTTTTAGTGTAAATAAAACAAAACACAACAAAACAAGACAATGAAAATAGACCTAAGGTATGATGAACCTTCGTGCGGTGCACTTGTGGACAGAATACGTGAATCATCGACAACATGTTTGGCAGCAGTCAGTATGAAATTGCTTCGTCTCAAATACTTTCGTGTGCTAGCAACAGTTGTTGGTACGTTTGTTGTAGTTGTTGCTGTGGCTGCATTGTATGCAGCAGAGCTGCATGCCATCGAACTGCGTATATTTCTCGACGATGGTGAAGACAAGGTTACCACATTGGCAGATGTTGTGGCATTGCTTTTATATTTGTAATGGGAATTTTTGGGACTACCAAACGAAGGAGGATGATGATACAGATTTTCATGTGACATTTGTTGTTGTTGCTGCTGCCTGGAATGATACGGTGAGTGTTTACGTTGATGTTGTTGATCAGCCACCGCAGTGTGTTGCCTGCCTTTAATTGCAATTGGTGATGACGTCCTCGAACGTGTTGTTGGTCCATATGTTTTGTTCAGATAAACATTTTGTGAAGTTTTCAAATCGGTGCGTACTCGTCGTGCAGTATTCGGTGATATATCACACACTTTTTCTGCGGAATTATCATGCACATCGTTTGCTGCGGTTGTTGTTGTAGTTATTGTTGTACATGACATAATGAACTAGGGGGGTTTTTGTTTGATTTAAGTATTTTTATTTTTTTTTTATTGTAACAAAATAATTTTGGGTATCACTTGATGTCTTGTACTCTAACTACAGCTGTTCATTTTGGACTAACGTCATCACATAGTCCTTTTTGTATTTGGTTGTTCGTTTTCTTTATTGTGTCATGGAAGTATGACACAATCGTGACATGCGCAAACTCATACTCCAGTTATTCACTACTATTTTCTTTGCGTGTGTGTAGATATACGAGGTTAGTGCTGATGTTTTTATACATTTATTTTCATACATGTATTCAGGTTGTCGCAGAGTTGCCTAGATGATACCAGTAGGACGATTCAAATTGATTTAAAAACAAAAATGTTTATTGGGTCTAGTCTTTTGGTGTTGTAATATTGTAATACTCTATTGATGGATTCAAAGAATTGAAAGTCAGAGTATGTTGTTTTAACATTCATTAAATGGACATACCAAAAAAGTGACCATTTTGCTATGAATGTGTTATAAACTGCATATTCAAATAACATAAATACACACATATGAAGGCATTAATATATGAATGGCAATCCTAGTTTATAACGTATAGCCTTTAATAAAGCACGAACATATTCATGTGTACCTTGGTTATTTATAGGTTTTTATACCGTCCACCACAGTATGGAGAGATTCAAGGTGGAGCCCCTAGAATGTTTGGTATTACAAATGGTGTATATGAGCCCAATTAATAGTTATTCGCTTCTTTAGGTTATCGTGACAACAGATGAAACATATTTTCTCTCAAAATCAAATATATTATTTCCCAGGTCCTTCCAAGAGAAGGGCCTGTAATTTGCCATTGCCGGTTTTAAAAGACTGACATACATATATGTAGAATATTATGAGTATATGTCCATTTTTATACCCTTCAACATAGTATGGAGGGTATATTAACTTCGTTTTTCCGTTTGTAACTCATCGAAATAATCATTTCCGACCCTATAAAGTGAATATATACTCGAACAGCGTAAAATTCTATGACGATTTAAGCATGTCCGTCTGCCTGTTGTAATCACTCTAGCGTATAAACGAATTGAGCTAGATCGCCAAAATTTTGCATAGAGTCAGGCAGGTAGGCCAAATTTAAATATTGACTATAACGGTCCACATTTAGGCACAGTTCCCATATAAGGGTACCCCCAATTTCGGAGTTATTGAGCGCGTTTTTCAACCAATTTCGCTGAAATTTGGTACATTGGATGCTTAATGGATACCAAATTTCTCCACTAAATATAGGTCCACTTTTTCTGGTAGCCCCCACATAGCTGTACCCTCAATTTTCAGTATTTTGGGGGTATTGAACATATTTTTCGACTGAGTTGGCTGTAATTTAGTACTTTGAGTTCTTACTGGGTAGCAAATCTCTCCACTAAAAATTATAAATATTGGTCCATTTTTTCGGGTCGCACTATAATATTTTTAATGACCCACGTTTAAGGGTTGCCTCCATAATATGGTACTCTCCAATATGGGGATTTTTGAAAAGTTTTTCAATGCAATCGACTGTAATTTGGATTCTCATAACGGTATCACCACATCTCCCCACAACAAAATAATATTGACTCATGTCGGTATTTTCAGAACTTTGAATACGTTTTTCAACCGAATTGGCTCTAATTTGGTATTTTATATTCTCACTGACTGTCAAATCTCACTACCAAAAAACATCAATGGCATCAACGTTAGCCTTACTATATCTGATATGAACTAAGATTATTAACATCGAAAAATAAAAAAAAAACATTAAAAAACCAGTAAGGAAGGTTCAAAAGTCGGACGGCGCCTACTATATGATAACCTTCACCACTTTGGGCACATACAAGAGATCCTTTAAATATGATAGACATAGCATCTCTGGAGGAAATGGAATCGGACGAAATTAAATGCGTGAAGTACACAGAATCTTGAACTAAGTTGCCACAACAACATACACATACCAATCTGAAATTTATGATAAATTTAATGTCAATCATTAAGAAAAATATGTATAAGATCTATATATATGGACGTATTTGAGCAACCGTGGCATCAATCATTTGGTATGCTGCAACATAGTGCTCTATCCAAAATGTATTTCTACACAAAATCCAATACACGTTATTCTAAGTTTGATTTGGTACGTTGTGTACTAATTCCTCCTTAGTGGCGAACTTTAATTATTTGGTACATCATTTTTATGAAATCGGATGAAAATATATATGGAAGCTATATCTAAACATGAAATGTCTCAGTCCAATATGCAGACCTAGGCTCCTCTGTTTGTTCTATTTGCTTAACATCGTACAAAAATGTATGAGGACCAAAAATGTATGAGTATGAACCGATTTCAAATAGAACCGGATCTATGATGCTACTTTTACATAAAATGGGATTAAGACATGGAGCTATATCTAAACCTGAACATATTTCAACAAAACTTAACGGATGCCAACCTGTAGGAGACGCTTCCTTGGCGACCTACCACCCAACATCTTAAGATTCATCGATGAGCGGAAAAGGCTCCGGAAACCTCTGAGAAGAACTGCAGATCCTGATCGCACCGAAAAAATCCTACGGCATCGACAAGGTCCCCGACATCGCTTTAAAGAAAGCTGGAGAAGTCATTATGATTTTCCTAACAGTATTATTTAACCACTGCCTCAACATCGGCTATTTCCCGACAGCATGGAAGGAAGCACTACCAAAACCTGGAGCAGATGCTAGTCTGCGTGGAAGCTACAGACCAATTTCCCTGTTATCGCCCTTTGGGAAATTGTTTGAGTACTTCCTGCTACGTCGCATCAACCGGGTTATTGATGAAAGAAGGATTCTTAGAGACTGTCAGTTCGGATTTCGGCCAAAGCATTCAACAACACACGCTCTTGCCGCATTCTCAACATATGTCACAAAAGGATTCAAGCTAAACCAGATAAGATATGTAACCGGTTATCTGAAAAAAAACTGATAAAGACCAGTAAGGAAAGTAGTAAAGTCGGACGGGGCCGACTATATGATACCCTTCACCACTTTGAGTATATTCAACAGATGAATCCTAACAGAAGTCGCATTTTTAAAGGACCAGTAAAATGAAATTGGAACCATAAACACGTCATTCTGCAACCGATACTAAATTCTTCATTTGGTCAGATATAGAAGCTATATCTAAATCTGAACCGATTTTCAGGCAACTTTACACACATCATTCTAGACCTAATTTGCTACGCGGTGCCAAATTTCGTGCTTAAATCGACTCAAAAAGTGATTCTATGCATATTCTCAAAAGGAGCCATGGGTCTATCTCGATTATTTTTGCATGTTACAAACATATGCACAAAAACATAATACCCTGTACCAGAAAAAAGAATTTGGTTCAATAACCTCAAAACCTGGGGGCTACCAGAAAAAATTGACCAATATTTATAATTTATAGTGGAGAGATGTGCTACCTAATAAGAACTCGACGTACTAAATTGCAGTCAATTTGGTCGAAAAATCCGATCAGAACCCCCAAAATACCAAAAATTTTGGGGTACCGTTATATGGGTACTACCAGAAAAACTGGACCTATATTTATAATTTTTAGTGGAGTAATTTGGTACCCAATAAGAACCCAATGTACAAAATTTCAGCGAATTCAGTTATAAAACGAGCCCAAAAACCCGAAAATACCGAAAATTGGGGGTGCCCTTATATGGGGGCTTTCCGAAAAAATGGACCTTTATTTATAAAGTTTGGTAGGGAGATTTGCTACCCAATAAGAACACAAAGTACCAAATTTCAGTGAATTCGGTCGAAAAATGCGATCAAAACCCCCAAAATACCGAAAATTGGGGGTAATCTTATATGGGGGCTATCCGAAAAAATGGACCTTTATTTATAATTTTTGATAGAGAAATTTGCTACCCAATAAGAACTCAAAGTACCAAATTTCAGCGAATTCAGTTAAAAAACGCGCTCAGGAACCTCAAAATACCGAAAATTTTGGGGTACCCTTATATGGGAGCTATGCCTAAACGTGGACCGATTTTTTCCAATTTCAATAGGGTTCGTCCTTGGGCCAATTAAGTGACCTGTGCCAAATTTCATCCAAATCGGATCATAAATGCGACCTGTACTTTGTTAACAAAAATACATGGACGGACGGACAGACGGACGGACGGACGGACAGACGGACAGACGGACATGCATAAATCGACTCAGAAAGTGATTCTATGCATATTCTCAAAAGGAACCATGGGTCTATCTCGATTATTTTTGCCTGTTACAAACATATGCACAAAGACATAATACCCTGTACCACAGTGTGGTGAAGGGTATAAAAAGGGAACCATAGCTGTTGGCTTGGACTTTTTCAAAGCCTTCGACACAGTATGGCAGCATGACATTTTATACAAAATGCAATCGTTTGGTGGCAAGTTTCCTTAAGGGGACCCCCCCATTCTCGGGGTCAAAATTTGTTTTTTGATTTAATTCGATTATACATTCTAATTCAATTCAAATTCAAGAATGTCTCTACAAAATTTCAAGTGAAAATCTCAAGAACTCTTGAAGATATAGCCGATTTATTGTGTCAGCATCAATTGACAGCTAAAGGGCTTCTCAAACTTTAAACGCGTTTTTCTCTTTTGCGAATGGCGGGCACGATTACTCAAAAACTAATAACCCAATCAATTCCATGTTTTTACACGTTTCTCTGTGAGTGTATAGCTATTGTATGAACTAGGATAAAGCCAATCGGTGAAGATCTTCCATATTTATTAACTTGGTTTTTGGTCAAAAATCGGCGATTTTCCAAAAATATTTTTTCAAAGGTGCGCCATTTTGTTAATTTTATTCGAAGTTCATACGAGAGCCAGACATGTACTCTTTCTAACACTGTTGGAATTTTCGGATTCCGATGTTCCAGTGAGGAGTTATCATGCCCGCCATCAAAAATAAGGACTTTTCTTTAATTACAAAAAACAACAACAAAGCAATA